TGTCCCAGTGTTTATAACTTTTCTTTCATCATCATTTAAATTATAAGAATAAGCTTTACAGATATAATTAACTACAAAGGAAGAACATTGTATGAACAACTTATCAATTTTTAATACTTTCTGTTTTTAGGTGTGAAACAAGTATAAAGCAGTAGAAAACATAATCAATGGATTCACAGAAATAGAATTTGAATAAAGATAAAATTTTACATTCTATTCATATTTAAAAGAACTAAGTGTTGAACTAGAACTTATGACCTTTTGCCGATTGCTGAAAAGTAAATTTACAACAAAAATTGATGAAAATAACATAAAAGTAAGTACAAGACATATGCCAAATTCTACTTGGTAAGTGGTAAATATTAAGTATTAATAATAATTCCCAAAGCACATATTTCCAGCAATTATTTGAACAATTCAATAATAAAAATTAACTTAAACATTATTTAGGTTGTGTGTAGAATATCTCTCTATTATTGTTTCAAATATTGTAGATCAAACTGTAAATTGGTCATGTCATGACAAGTTTTTCAAACTAATTTGATTTATGATTCTATCATAGACATTTCACAAAAATGGGCAGGCAATAAAAGTTTCTATAAAAACCTGTAAAAACTAATCATCATTTTTACATGGTTTGTGAGTTCCATCATTGTAGAGAATTGAATTTCAAAGAAGTTTTGTAAGTAAATGGGGAGAAATCTATATAATCAAAGAAAACCATTTTTTTCTAATAAGGTATGTAATTAGGTGAAAAGCAATAATTAAATTGATTATGTTGTAGACTTGAATCAATTAATTACCATTTCATACTGTTGCAGATGAATGATTGCACCTCTTCAAGTTCTACAGAATTATTAAATGAAGGAATCTGCTTCAGAATTACTGACTGCATGTCGCTGCAACATCTGTGTTACAAAGTTTGATTGCTTGAAATATTGTAATTCTACTGAATTTTGAAAAATAACTTATTATATGGAGTAGTTTAACCGCAAATCTAAAAAAGAGTCACCATGTTGCAGGAAATGCTAGTAACTATATTAATGTCAATATTGATATATAGATGTGTAACCTATACATTATTTATATTATAATTTAGTGTTTTATATTAGTTTGATGTTAATATTATGACAATTTTTAGAAATATGTATTAGACTTTAATACAAAATATACACTAACATAATAAGATTTTCTCGAAATTGGGAAATGCAGTGTATAGAAAATAAAAATATACTAAAATACAGGAAATTAAGTATCAAGTACAAAAGATTAAAAAAAAACACCATTTAGTGAAAAATATGAAACAAAATTAATTTATTAAATTTGGATTTTACAAATATCACAACTTATAATATATCTTAAACTTTTTTTGAACTAAGTAATAAAAAATAAACAGAGATTGTATACAATTTTCTTACAAGTAATTTAAATTTCAACACAGGTACTTTTCCCCAAAATGATGCCTCCTAAGCTCATTATTTTTTCTCGTTAAGGAATCTATAGATTACACATCTATGGAGAATAGTAATAACAAAAGTGTTAAAATGTGGAATCCTTAGGTTCATGATAATTTTATGAATTTATTTGAGAAGTAAAACTTAAATATTGTATTCTATTTTTACAGTACATAATATTTAACATGACTTGTACATTTGCAATGTTTTGATAGGAAAAGTTTGGATTAGGGGAATATTTGGAGCGTCGGCAGTGCAGTTGGCGCTTGACCGGATCATATTTTACATATCCAGGTATGATCTCTGCTATAACAGACAATAATAACAGAACAATAATGGTATTATTACGAAAGCAATGGGCATTATGTTGCGTTCTTAAAATATGTTCTCTTTAGTCAGAAGATTAAATTAAAGTTGCAATTAACGAAATTGTTTTATTTTTCCAAATTGTTTTCCCTCAAATAATACTTTCAAACGTCAAAAAGGATACTGACAGATAGTTTTTTTTAGGTTGGTAGCAACGTAAACTTGTTCATAATATTGCTAGCATTGAAAATGTCAATTCTTATTCTCCGTTTGTGAATCTAATTAGTCAAGAGTCCCGTCTCTTATTTTATATACTCTGGTTTAATGGCGGACGGCGGAGGACATCGT